AGCCTATGCCAGTGACCGACGACTCTGTCAGTGAAGAACCTTTTCCTAATGTCCAATTATATCCTATCCAATGTTATCTTACAAAAGTGCTTATAATGTGTGCGTCTTGATTTCTGTATCCAGACATCAAACCTTAGCTAACATGCTCAGATGGTCTGAGCCATTTGGTCAAACTATACCATCAGAGCTATGGACTGTTAAGGATACGCAACAGACAAACACCAGAGAGTGATAACCACGCATAGCTCCAGGATCAACAGGTGGATATACTGGTTTTCCAGCTCTTGGCTGTCTTTGTTGCTGAATTACCACCGGTTTTCCACCCTTCACTCTTGATTCATTAGAGGGAGATGATAAGCAAGAAGCAGCAGGAGCTCCAAAGTACAAGATTTATATTGAGCGTTCAGTCTCACAGATGAAAAGGCTGTGATCTCTCAGAACAACGATATGTTCAAAGAAGTGTCTCTTCCAGTTGCTGATCCTGCTCCTGCTGCTGCCTGCTCCATGCAGCATGTACTTCCCCTGCATGTTAAGAATGAGGGGCAGGAGGGGCTAGGATATGCCTAAGGGCATGCCCTGAAGCAGAAAATACAATGCTGACATCAAGTTCTGAAAACAGATCAGATACAATCATGAAAGTTGCCTTGCACATCCTAAATACCTCTATTCCTTCTTGCCCTTTTATTACAATAGCTGTGTTGCCACTTAAATGCACTGTATTATGTGCCAGGTGCAATACAGTCACACATCAAAGAAATATAAATGTATTTAATTTCCATACTATCCTGTGGAATGACACAAGGTGGTACTTCTGAGCTGAAAAACAATCAATGCAGCAATTCTGAGAGAAGAAAGCTTCAGAGGGAGTCAGAGAGAACGTAGAGTGTATAATTAAGAGCAGGATATAAGACTGTCAGGACCGCTTTTTGCTTGCAACTGTGTTTCGCCTCTTCCACCCTGGACAAAGAGCCCAACAGAAGTAAAATCTGGTTGTTTTGCCAGAACACAGCAGGGCTTTGAAAGAATTCTGAAGAGAACTTTGGTGGGATTAGTGGAATAATTTAACAGGCAGTCATGTTGGCAGGTAGAGAACAAAAAGACATTTGCATTTCAGACTGCCTGTATGGTTTGGGGATAGTGGAGGAAGAAAAGTAAGTCTGAAGAAGCCTGAAGCTATTCTGCACTGAGGAAAAAGCCCTGACAGAAAGTGGATGAAAGAGATGAAGTTGAGGGAATAAGATTCTGAAAAAAACATACAAAAACATTTATTTCACTTACAGGCTAATGCAATATTGTTTAGTGAACACAAATAAGCAGCTGAATTTTCTCATTTAAATAGAGGAATCATGGAATCAGAATAATTCAGGTTGGAAGGGACCTTAGGAGGTCATTCCAACCTCCTGCTCAAAGCAAGGTCCACTATGAGGCCAGACCATGTTGCTCAGGGCTTTATGCAACTGGGCCCTGAAAACCTTCAGGAATGGACACCCCACCACCCCTCTGGATAATCTGTTCCATTGTTTGATCGTCCTCGTGGGGAAAAGGCTTTTTCTTATATCCAGCCCAAACTTCTAGGTTCAATTTATGCCCATCGTATCTTGTCCTCACACCATCAGAAGAGCCTGGCTCTATCTTTTAGCTCCTCATGAGCACTGGCAGGTTGCTATTAGGTTTCCCCCAGAGCCACCTCTTCTCCAGGCCAAACAAGTCCAGTTCCCTTCAGCAGCCCACTCCCCGCCCCCAGGAAAAGTGCTTCAACTCCCTGAACATTTTGTCTCTCTGCTGAACTTTTTCCAGTTTATCATGACCGTCCTTGCATTTCAGGTACCCAAAGCTAGATGCAGATGTGGTCTAATGAATTCTGAATCCCTTCATCTCATATATCTCATATATACGAATCCCTTCATATCATATATGCTGTTAACACAGCCCAGCCCCGCAGGTTGTGCTCAGCAGTACTGTTCCCCAGCCAGTCAGTCCCAGCCTGTATCACTGGGAAATCAAACTTAGAGAACAATGTATGTCAGACCTCTGGAGGTCATCCAGTCCAACTCTCTTTCTCAAAAGCAGAGCTAACCTCAAGGTTAGATGAAGTGGCATCCGTCATCCAAACCTGAAACCCACAAATGACATACACAAAACAATCCACAGGAAGTTTTAAATGCTATTTCTAAAGAAATCTTTAAAACACTATTATTATTACGATTTTCCAAGTACATCATAACCAATAAAAGCTGGTACTATAAAAAGGTAGAGAGATGACAGCAGCTGCAAAAATAATGGAAGCACTCAAAAATAATTATTCGATAATGGCAAGGACAGGGAAGGTGAAGGATTTTAGTGAAACGTTTATTAGAATGAATACCAGACCCAGACTCACTTCAGTTGCATTGGGAAGCAAATGCAAATTTAAGACAGCTTTTCAGCACGACCATGAAAATAAGGAAAATCTTCAGGGCAGATAAAAATGATGGCACGGAAGTGACCACAGCAACAACGATCATCCAGACTCCTCTCCCAGGCTCAGTCTGTTTTCATACTGAAACTGATCAGGCCTCTCAAAGCTCTGAAAAGACTATTCAAGACCTTCAGTGCAAGCAGACTACTCTGCTCCAACAGGGGCAGGCTGGGAGACAGGAAGGAGGTGCAGAGCTGAGCAGCCCCTGTCCCCACAGTAGAACTTGGCAGTGGGATCTTTGCAAAGCACAGAAATTGGGTATACGTTTCATTAACCCCCACATGTACCCACTTCCTATCTCTGCCTTGACTGAGGCTCTGGGGAGGGGCTGCCCCATTCACTAGCTTGCTTGTTTTCTTACAGCTTTTTCTCTCCCTAATGGAGACACAGAAGATACCCATTAATCCTTTCTTTTGTCCCCCAAGCTACCTGCCATGTGCCCCTGGGGGAATCTCAGCTCTGTGCACACCCTTGGGTGGCAGACAGCAGGGCTGAGCGTACTGCCAGACGTGTTCATGACCACATTAGCAGATAAAGGAAGTGACAGGAAGTGAGGAATGTGGAAATGGGAGAGAACAGCTTGGAAAAAGCAAGGGGAAAAACAAAGGGCAGCTCTGGTACCATCCCTCTGGAACCTTAGTTCACTCTCAGTGAGAAAACCAGACCATCCTCATTGGGGGTCTGCACATCATATGCTACTGAAGACTCACATCGTGCCCTCAGAACCAACCCTTCACCAAGTGTCCCACGGCTGGCAGGAGAAGCAGCAGGAAGCAGCAGTTCAGCCACCCTGCCTGGTAAAGGCAGCCACCCACCACTCTGACTTCAGTGTCAAACAGAAGAATCACAAAAACTGAAAGCCTCCCAACCCTGTCGCTGAGTGTAACCTGTATAAAACTCACACAAAGATCTTCACTACATCTGCCCAGATGCAGCTGATGAGATGAATCCCACATGAAGTAGTGAATAAAAGTTATGTAGACTTTGCTATATTACTGTCACTTGGGTTAACTGTTTGGAACTGTAATGGGACAGGGATGCCTAGGTACTTCGCTTGTTTGTCAAGGTTACAGTTGCTGAGGTTGATGAAACCTGATGGCTTGACCTGGCCATAACTCATTGAAAGCTGTCATCTGGCAAGGCTGCAGTCACACATTCTGATTGTGAGTAACAACCCACATGACAAACCAAGGAACAGTGGGCCAACACAGCTGTATGGTGCAGTCAACAACTTGAGGGCTCTTGAAAACAATACTGTAAGAATTCCTGATTCTGCATTCAGAGATCTCTGCCTGGAGATCAAGCTCAGGGACACCCAAAGGAAGACTTAAGCCTCACCAAGTCCAAGAAGACCCTGAAAGACTGGGTGGCTGTAGATCAACACGCATGTTATAGACAAGGACAGCAGAATAACTGCAGGCTGTGATCCAACAATCCCAACATGCATCTGTTGTCACACTGCCCTACCTCATCACACAAAGACGTTTATAAGCTATTTACATTTTGCATTTTGTATATTTTAATTGATGTTTAAAGACAAGAAAGTTCCTCATAATATTTCCCCAAGAAACTGCCTGTTTAAATTGAGACTGTCATAAACTGTTTCACCCACAAAAGCTTGAAGAGCTTAAATAGCTCAAAACAAGCCCATCCTCCGTAAAAAAAAATCCAGTTTACAATGGAACACACCCTGCAAAGACAGAACATTTAATATATCAAATGCAAAGAATAGAATAGTGTAGGACATGGTTTGCTCAGCACAAGGACAGCAGAAAATTATATTTAATTTTTCAAAGATATTTTAAATATGGATCTTATAGAATCATAGAATCATAGAATTGTTAAGGTTGGAAAAGACCCTTAAGATCATCGAGTCCAACCGTTAACCTATCACTGCCAAGCCCATCTATACCATGTCTTCAAGCACCGTATCTGTCCATTCTTTAAATACCTCCAGGGAAGGAGGCTCAACCACTTCCCTGGGCAGCCTGTTCCAATGCTTGACTACCCTCTCGGTGAAGAAGTTTTTCCTAATGTCTAACCTAAACCTCCCCTGGCGCAGCTTGAGCCCGTTTCCTCTCGTTCTATCACTCATTACTAGGGAGAAGAGGCCGACCCCCATCTCGCTACAACCTCCTTTCAGGTAGTTGTAGAGAGCAATAAGGTCTCCCCTCAGCCTCCTCTTCTCCAAACTAAGCAACCCCAGCTCCCTCAGCCGCTCCTCAGAAGACTTGTGCTCTAGACCCTTCACCAACTTCGTTGCCCTCCTCTGGACACGCTCCAGCACCTCAATGTCCTTCTTGGAGTGAGGGGCCCAAAACTGAACACAGTACTCAAGGTGCGGCCTCACCAGTGCCGAGTACAGGGGCACTATCACCTCCCTGGTCCTGCTGGCCACACTATTCTTGATACAGGCCAGGATGCCATTGGCCCTCTTGGCCACCTGAGCACACTGCTGGCTCATGTTCAGGCGGCTGTCAGCCAACACCCCCAGGACCTTTTCCGCCAGGCAGCTCTCCAGCCACTCCTCCCCCAGCCTGTAGCGTTGCCTGGGGTTGTTGTGACCCAAGTGCAAGACCCGGCACTGAGCCTTGTTGAATCTCATGCAGTCAGCCCCGGCCCAATGATTCAGTCTGTCCAGGTCCCTCTGCAGGGCCTTCCTACCCTCCAGCAGATCGACACTTCCACCCAACTTGGTGTCATCTGCAAACTTACTGAGTGCAAAGCACTTCAGCTTCTTAAGGCAGAAACTAAAAATGCATTATCACAAAAGCAAACCTATATCTTAGGATCTTAATGAAACACCACCATTAAAAATTATCTAACTGTTAATTCAAAGACTCATCAAATAAAATAAAGAAATGAAGCATTTCCCATACTTGTAGGGAACTTCAAAACCAAAAGTTCTTTTCCATTCTTGTGGAGAATCGGAGCTGCATTTCCCTCAGCAGCAAGTATAAAAGGCACTTCCAAGTGGTCTCTAGTACAGCACCATAAGATCTGATAGCGAACATCTAGGGCTACCACTAGAAACATCATTCATCATTTAAGTTTAGGATTCCCTGTCATAAGTAGGCTTTTTCACCACCCAGCTTGGTTTTTCAGTAACCTAAGCTTTGGATAAACTTGTGATTTTAGACCCTTTCCTATGTAAAGCAAATGAAGTTTTTCAGTTGTTAAAAGGGGAAAAAATTCCTTTTACCAATCTACTTTTTTTTGATCTTTCCTCCAATCTACTTGGATAATACTGTAGTGCAGAAAGAAATTACATAGGAATCTGAATCTTACAACAGAAAACTGAGACTGAGTTTTAGAAACTACTTAAGTTATTTATAGTAACAAGAACAGAAATATTTATATATTATCATTGGTACTGTATGTTTCTGCTTACTAGCGTATTTTTAAAATTTGATCTAAATGTAGCATACTGGCTCTGTAAAGAAGCTATGAAAGGGCAAATACACATCTTTTTCCCTATGAAAGAGCAACGTATCCATTTGTTACCTTTTAAGTAACTTCTGATTCATATTTCATTCTCCACTAAAAATAATGAAAGATAACCTATACCACACAAAAGATCTGGTAATACTTATGTATCTGCTACCACCTGCTGACAAACAGCATTATTGACTTTGTCCTAGTCAATCTTAAAGAAGCAACTCCTAGTTTCCACTGCTGCTACAGTCGCCGACAGTAAAAGCTACATAAATTTTTTAATACAGTATGTTGTAGCCATAATAAGCCACTAATTTCCTATCCACCCAGCTTGTCTGCATCACAGATTCACCACTGACCAGCATATTCTGCTCATAAAGCAGCAACTATATCTTCATTCACTGAAGCTCTTCAGCTATTGCGGGTGGTTACTGTAGTTAAATTACTGAGCAATTACAAGAAACTGATTCCTCATTTACAAAAATCCAAAACCATTTCATTTGTTACATTAGCCGTAAGACTTTCCAAATGACAAGTCAATTTCTTCCAGTCTTATTTGACAATCTACAATGTGGAATCAAAACATCTTTTTCGCCCCAGTCTTAAAATGAAGAGCAGAATGGTAGTAGAAATGACCACCTTTGCATCACCCTACTTAATTTTACAATGCTTTAAGTAAAAGCCTCGACTGGCCTCCAGCTAATGTTGTTGTTGAGAAAAAGACTACCAAAAACCTAAAGAAAAACAGAGAAATACATCCTTAGTTTCAGGTATCTCACACTAAATTGCAGAAGTGTGACAGTGAAAAGAGACTAATTCATAGTGGTGACCTGTCTATGGCTATATGGTAGACTATAAGAAAATAGTATTTGTAATATTTACATATACATGCACTTCCAAACATTTTGAAAAAAAAAAAAAGCCAAAGCTTCATATCTGATAAGCCAAAGTGTCAGAAAAAATAATTTCATGAAAGCAGAATATGGAGCTATATATGACAGCATGGTTTGTTTGACAAAGCTAATCCTATTAAGATTCATGAAGTCTCCTGGCTTAGTTGATAGGAATCTGAGTTTGAAATCTCTCTTTAAGTGATGGGTCTTTAAGAGTGGTCTGTTCTTCCAGACCTACACGCATTTAGCAAAAGGAGTTATAAATGAGAGGTTTAACCTTTCAAATGTCTTATTCACTTTCCATTTTTTTCATTTGCAAAAAAAAATAGTATTTTTCACTTGACTTAAGTTCCTGCCTGGAGCGCTCAACTGGGTTTTTTGTTAGAAATTTCTGGCTGATCTTAAAACTCCCTTGTCCTGCACTTCCATCCCCAAGGCAGCTGAAACCAGACACTGGGTGTTGCCAATAGAAGACCAAAAAGCCAACATCAATGCTGGGCCACCGATCCAGAGTGCCCTGAATGCCTTAACACCAGCTGGACTCCACTGAGAAGATCGTGACAAAAAATACTCCAGCAGTAGTTTCCTACCTTCAGTATCAAATGCTAAAAACATAAGTAGAGCTTCTTGCCCCTTTTTCTGAAAAGGCAAGGTTATTTTTGAGGAACGCAATTTCAGTCATAGAAGGAGAAGAGATGTTTCTGACTTGGTGCTGCCCTCAGGAGAGGCAGCCACTGGGGTGTGGAGAGCCACCTTTGCTCTTCCTCCCAAATACGGGTCCAGTCACCATCTTTTTCGCCTCTGAGGGGATGAGGGCGGCACTGGAAGCACCACCCGTGCGAGACAAACGGCGGGCTTCCCCTGCGTTGCCCTAGAGGGAGAGACGA